GCTAGAGGGGCGAGGGGGAGGTGAGGGGAGTGGTGAGCATGGAGGGGGGCGGGAGGGCGTGTCGAAACCCATGCCGTACTGCGTTGCCGAACACCTCACGGTGATGCAGGGGCGTTCAGGGGTGCTAGAGGGGCGAGGGGGTGGTGAGGGGAGTGGGGAGCATGGAGGGGGGCGGGAGGGCGTGTCGAAACCCGTGCCGTACTGCGTTGCCGAACACCTCACGGTGATGCAGGGGCGTTCAGGGGTGCTAGAGGGGCGAGGGGGTGGTGAGGGGAGTGGGGAGCATGGAGGGGGGCGGGAGGGCGTGTCGAAACCCGTGCCGTACTGCGTTGCCGTACACCTCACGGTGATGCAGGGGCGTTCAGGGGTGCTAGAGGGGCGAGGGGGTGGTGAGGGGAGTGGGGAGCATGGAGGGGGGCGGGAGGGCGTGTCGAAACCCGTGCCGTACTGCGTTGCCGTACTACAGTGTGTTGTCGTACTCGAGATCTCCCAAAACACCATCCCCATAGGCCCAGGCATCATCTCCAAGGGTGCCGAGGAAGTCGCAAAGAGGTCGCTACCCGGCTCGAACTGGAGACCTCTGGCTGGCTGAGGATAGGACTGAACGCTTAGCGCCGCAAGGTCGTTGCCACCCCTTTTGTGAACAGACAGACGGACAGACAGACAGACAGACAGACAGACAGATAGTGCCGCGTCGTTGCCGCGGCCGGGGGTACCGTAAATCCCTTGGTGCCCCGTAGTGCCGCTACACAGCAGGAGCGCACCTCTGCGTATAGCGCCGCGTCGTGGTCGCCGCGGCCGGGGGTACCGTAAATCCTGATTGGTGATGAATTCGCGAACGAACAAGCTTTGCACGCTGGCATGACTTCAGCATTGCGGACCTAATGTTGGCGCGCCGACCAGTGTTGTGAGGTTGTTCATGTTGCAGACAAGCATGGTCGGCGGACCTGATGTCAGCGTGCGGCTCATGTTCGAAAGCAATAATCGGCATGGCGTACGTGTACGGCATGGCGTCGAACTGCTTCAAATTCAAATTTTGAGGCGCCTCCGGATGTTTTCCGCTATCGGTGACCTCTTGGGGCTGCCCTACGGCATGTGGGCGTGTCCAAGGCATGAAAAGCCCTTGTTCTGTACCAACATATACAGGTAGAGCCTCGCTACCTACGCACTACATGCACACACACACAAACACATCTGCGCATGAGGGCGACGTCTCATGACCCGTGGGTCAGTGATCACCAAAAAAGCTATCATTTTCGGCGATCAGCAATCGGCGCTTTTCAGGAGATGCGCCGACTTCACGACCGTGCTTCTCGCCGAGACCAGCTTGCAAATCGCGCCGAAAGATTTTTGCCGATGCCAGGCCAATTGTGCCGAAATCTAAAGAGCTTTCACGGCGATCTCCCCTGACAGCATTCGCCGATCAGCAATCGCCGATCAACTACAGTTTTCGGCGATCAGTAATCGACGCTTTTCAGGAGATGCGCCGACTTCACGACGGTGTTCAAAGGAGCCAGAGCGACGAGGGGGTGGTGAGGGGGGTGGGGAGCATGGAGGGGGGTGGTCACGGTCACCAAACAGTTTTACGCTGATTTTGGAAAGTAACCAAGAAACTGCGAATGGCTCATTAATTCAGTTATAGCTTAGTCGAGATCACAATGCAAGATATTGCAACAAGAAGATTGGTGGTACGCGGTGCCCGAATCCATGCTGTACCGTGTGGCTGTACGACAGGGGTGATCAAAGGAGCCAGAGCGACGAGGGGGTGGTGAGGGGAGCGGGGAGCATGGAGGGGGGTGGTCACGGTCACCAAACAGTTTGACGCTGATTTTGGAAAGTAACCAAGAAACTGCGAATGGCTCATTAACTCAGTTATAGCATAGTCGAGATCACAATGCAAGACATCGCAACAAGGAGACGGGCGGCACACGGTGCCCCAACCCATGCCGTACCATGTCGCTGTACGACAGGGGTGGTCAGAGGAGCTAGAGCAATGAAGAGGTGGTGAGGGGAATAGGGAGTTTGGAGAGGGGTGGTCACGGTCACCAAACAGTTTGACGCTGATTTTGGAAAGTTACCAAGAAACTGCGAATGGCTCATTAACTTAGTTATAGCTTAGTCGACATCATAATGCAAGATATTGCAACAAGAAGATTGGTGGTACGCGGTGCCCGAAGCCATGCCGTACCGTGTCGCTGTACGACAGGGGTGGTCAGAGGAGCCAGAGCGATGAGGGGGTGGTGAGGGGAGTGGGGAGCATGGAGGGGGGTGGTCACGGTCACCAAACAGTTTGACGCTGATTTTGGAAAGTAACCAAGAAACTGCGAATGGCTCATTAATTCAGTTATAGCTTAGTCGAGATCACAATGCAAGATATTGCAACGAGAAGATTGGTGGTACACGGTGCCCGAAGCCATGCCGTACCATGTCGCTGTACGACAGGGGTGGTCAGAGGAGCTAGAGCGACGAGGGGGTGGTGAGGGGAGTGGGGAGCACGGAGGGGGATGGGAGGGCGTCTCGAAACCCATGCCGTACTGCGTTGCCGTACACCTCACGGTGATGCAGGGGCGGTCAGAGGTGCAGAGGAGCAATCGCCGATCAACTACAGTTTTCGGCGATCAGTAATCGACGCTTTTCAGGAGATGCGCCGACTTCACGACGGTGTTCAAAGGAGCCAGAGCGACGAGGGGGTGGTGAGGGGGGTGGGGAGCATGGAGGGGGGTGGTCACGGTCACCAAACCGTGTTACGCTGATTTTGGAAAGTAACCAAGAAACTGCGAATGGCTCATTAATTCAGTTATAGCTTAGTCGACATCATAATGCAAGATATTGCAACAAGAAGATTGGTGGTACGCGGTGCCCGAAGCCATGCCGTACCGTGTCGCTGTACGACAGGGGTGATCAAAGGAGCCAGAGCGACGAGGGGGTGGTGAGGGGAGTGGGGAGCATGGAGGGGGATGGTCACGGTCACCAAACAGTTTGACGCTGATTTTGGAAAGTAACCAAGAAACTGCGAATGGCTCATTAATTCAGTTATAGCTTAGTCGACATCATAATGCAAGATATTGCAACAAGAAGATTGGTGGTACACGGTGCCCGAAGCCATGCCGTACCGTGTCGCTGTACGACAGGGGTGGTCAGAGGAGCCAGAGCGACGAGGGGGTGGTGAGGGGAGTGGGGAGCATGGAGGGGGGTGGTCACGGTCACCAAACAGTTTGACGCTGATTTTGGAAAGTAACCAAGAAACTGCGAATGGCTCATTAATTCAGTTATAGCTTAGTCGAGATCACAATGCAAGATATTGCAACAAGAAGATTGGTGGTACGCGGTGCCCGAAGCCATGCCGTACCATGTCGCTGTACGACAGGGGTGGTCAGAGGAGCCAGAGCGACGAGGGGGTGGTGAGGGGAGTGGGGAGCACGGAGGGGGATGGGAGGGCGTCTCGAAACCCATGCCGTACTGCGTTGCCGTACACCTCACGGTGATGCAGGGGCGGTCGGAGGTGCAGAGGAGCAATCGCCGATCAACTACAGTTTTCGGCGATCAGTAATCGACGCTTTTCAGGAGATGCGCCGACTTCACGACGGTGTTAAAAGGAGCCAGAGCGACGAGGGGGTGGTGAGGGGGGTGGGGAGCATGGAGGGGGGTGGTCACGGTCACCAAACAGTTTGACGCTGATTTTGGAAAGTAACCAAGAAACTGCGAATGGCTCATTAATTCAGTTATAGCTTAGTCGAGATCACAATGCATGATAATGCAACAAGAAGATTGGTGGTACGCGGTGCCCGAAGCCATGCTGTACCGTGTGGCTGTACGACAGGGGTGATCAAAGGAGCCAGAGCGACGAGGGGGTGGTGAGGGGAGTGGGGAGCATGGAGGGGGGTGGTCACGGTCACCAAACAGTTTGACGCTGATTTTGGAAAGTAACCAAGAAACTGCGAATGGCTCATTAACTCAGTTATAGCATAGTCGAGATCACAATGCAAGACATCGCTACAAGAAGATTGGTGGTACGCGGTGCCCGAAGCCATGCCGTACCGTGTCGCTGTACGACAGGGGTGGTCAGAGGAGCCAGAGCGACGAGGGGGTGGTGAGGGGAGTGGGGAGCATGGAGGGGGGTGGTCACGGTCACCAAACAGTTTGACGCTGATTTTGGAAAGTAACCAAGAAACTGCGAATGGCTCATTAATTCAGTTATAGCTTAGTCGAGATCACAATGCAAGATATTGCAACAAGAAGATTGGTGGTACACGGTGCCCGAAGCCATGCCATACCATGTCGCTGTACGACAGGGGTGGTCAGAGGAGCTAGAGCGACGAGGGGGTGGTGAGGGGAATGGGGAGCACGGAGGGGGATGGGAGGGCGTCTCGAAACCCATGCCGTACTGCGTTGCCGTACACCTCACGGTGATGCAGGGGCGGTCAGAGGTGCAGAGGAGCAATCGCCGATCAACTACAGTTTTCGGCGATCAGTAATCGACGCTTTTCAGGAGATGCGCCGACTTCACGACGGTGTTCAAAGGAGCCAGAGCGACGAGGGGGTGGTGAGGGGGGTGGGGAGCATGGAGGGGGGTGGTACAACAGTTGTCGTACACTGTCGTACAACTGTCGTACATAGTCGTACATGTCGTACACCACATGATGCGTCACCACACATCATGGCACCTGTGCCGTACAGTGTGTTGTCGTACAGTGTGTTGTCGTACTCGAGATCTCTCAGAACACCATCCCCATAGGCCCAGGCATCATCTCCTAGGGTGCCAAGGAAGTCGCCAAGAGGTCGCTACCCGGCTCGAACCGGAGACCTCTGGGTGGCTGAGGATAGGACTGAACGCTTAGCGCCTTAAGGTCGTTGCCACCACTTTTGTGAACAGACGGACAGACAGACGGACAGACGGACAGACAGACGAACTTTAGCGGTGATCTGTCCTCCAATCCTCCCCTTCACTTCGTTACGGGGGGATTTACGGTCACAGCAACATATCTTCATTGCCGAGTCTCGTTATTAAGATGGGGTCGAGTGACATGCCAGCCGTCAACAGGTACCACCAGTCGGTGACGTTCGAGCGCATTAGGCGCTTACTGAGCGACTTGCCAACTCAGCTGCCGTACCGTACGTCATGGGGCCCCCCCGACATGGGGCGCCTGACAGCTGCCGTCATCGGCGGCATGCTGCCACCAGGAACGCTCGTCCTGAATCACGTAGACAAGATGGGCACCAGGCCCCGAGTCGGCATCGTGCTGTGCGGCTACAAGCAGTGGGGGAAGTCGGGTTTTGCAGTGCCCGTGCTATGCATGTGCGACAGCTGTTCGCAAACCAGCGACATCACCAAGCGGATCTTTGACCTGCAGTCCAGCTTCCACAGGCACGCAGGCCAAACGTGCCTGGACTGCATGCGTTTCAACACTAACGCGCTGCTGCATCTTCCCATGGACGGCGCGCCCAGCGACTCCGATGCGGCCTACAACAACGACATCGACTCCCCCAGTGCAGCGGGCTACACCGGAATGGTGCTCGTCTCGATTCCCCGCCTTCTGGCCGCATGGGCCAAGGTTGGCGGTCGATCCCTGAGGCGATTCCCGAAGCAGCTTTTCGAGGCGAAGTCGCCCGGCCAGAATTGGCTGCTCCCGTCGGACCCGGAACGTCTCAGCCGGTTCCAGTACGCAGACGAACTCATCAGCGAGTGGTCGAAGAATAAGCTGCAGGCCACGCCGTCCGGTGCCATTAAGAACGAGTTTGACACGCGCCTTAACCGGTTGCCGCCCGTTGATAATGCGGCAGCGGAAAAGGACGCCGAGGAGGCTCACCGCGCGTCTTGCCACACGCCGGCCATGTTTCGGTACGAGCTCTACAAGCGACAAGAGGCGAAGGAAGCACGAGCTGGCCTGGAGGGTGCTGCCGTGCACCAACCGGGCACCGGGAAGTCTGGGTAAGTCTGGTTAGGAGTAAAGGAGGTTTGCTCATAAGAGGTAGATGGTCATAGGATACATGTAATGCAGGAATCGGTTACATGGGGCGGCAGGTAGATGACGCATTGTAAATGTCATTTCGGGCAACACCGCTGATTTGTGCGGATTACGGCAGGGGATCGCAGCAGAATTAACATGGAGTGCCAATGCAAATACGCAGCGTATTCGTCCATGAATTTTGTCGTACCCGCCATGACCTGCATTGCACATTCAATGTCGTACCTGGCATGGCCCTACCATCCATGTTTCCACAGGTCACAACGCGCCTAACGTGCAGCAGCAGGGCAAGCTCGTGCACACATGCCCGTTTAACGGGTAAGTGTCGTACATCGTCGGCAAAGGATATCGATATTAGTTAATCCTAGTAGGTAATGTGCAGACATTTTGTTAATATTTGATAGGAAATAATATAGGAGTGGGAAACATACGGAGGGAGAGTGGGTCGCTAACAATAGTGACGGAAGTAGGGGCAGATAGAGGTAAGAGTCTAAGGCATAAGGGTCGGAGCGAAACCCAATTTATAGACAGGTGAAAGGAAGGGGATAGGGTGTGTAACATATGGTTACACGGAGCGGCAGGGAGATTAACACGGCAAGGCGATTAGCAAAGGCATGTTGCATCGCATACATTATTCCATGTGCAACTATGCAACCATGCAACCATGCAACCATGCAACCATGCAACCACGCAACCATGCAACCATGCAACCATGCAACCATGCAACCATGCAACCATGCAACCATGCAACCATGCAACCATGCAAACATGCAAACATGCAAACATGCAAACATGCAACCATGCAAACATGCAACCATGCAAACATGCAACCATGCAACCATGCAACCATGCAACTACACACTGCTCCATATGCCACTGTACAACGCCTCCCTCCCCGTTCAACCATGTGCCCACAGGTCGCAAGGTATCTAACGCACCTGGGCAGGTCGGAAGCGTTGTGGTCCGCCGGCATAACATACCAAGCGCGGGAATATGCCGTAGGGAGGTAGGGGCGAGACAGGAAGTGGGGGAGGGACTGATGGGAGAGAGAGAGAGACGTACCAGAAGAGAGGTGGAAAAGAAGGATAGGGAATAGCCACAAACAGTAGAGCGCGTTGGTGTGGGGGGCGACAACTTGGGTTACGGCGTTCAGGAGGAGGAGAAAAAGAGGAGTGCAACAGCGTAGTGGCAATTAACCGGATGTGATGAACGGCGGTATGCTGAAGCATGACAAGGATATGCCGTACGGAGGTAGGGGCGAAAGAGAGAGTGGGGGAGGGAGTGCCGGGAGAGAGAGAAAGAGAGAGAAAGACGGAGGTAGGAGGAATGGAGGGAACTAGAAGAGAGGTGGAAATAGCCACAAAAAGGCTGAAAATTGCCAATGAATGCTAAGTGATGACGCAATGTACGGTCGGAGATGGATACGTAGGTGGAACCTAATACGGACAGTTCCTTGTTTGCTGGTTGCAGCCGTTGCCGCATGGTTGCAATTGTTCTGCACGGATTTGTACACCGTTGAGTTCGATGTATCAGTACCTGCCGGATCATTGCGGTCTTTGCAGTTGGTCAGTCAAAACACGGCTGTTGACCGTGTGACAAACGGAAGGCGCATCTTGTATATGTCGCTTGTCAATTGGTTAATGCAGTTGTCTACGAGCTAGCTGTTAACGGTCGAGAGCATGGGGCGTTTCGTGTACGTTGATCGGCATATGGTTAACCGAACACTGGTAATTTTGCCGTCATTCAGAGGTCGTCTCAAGGTAGTTTCGCTGTTGCTAAAATAACATTCTGCAGTCGTTAAACGGTCCTTGTCCGTTTACGCAAAGAATCCTACTCCACTGACGGTTACCATACGTGATACCGGCTTAAAGATCAGCGTCCTTCCACCGCCTAGCCGTACACGCATTGTATAGTTCACCCGTCTGGTCGTATACGCGTTGTACATTGTACCGTTGCCGTACACATTATCGCCCTACACATCGTTACCCTACGCATTGTCGCCCCACGCCTTATCGGCCTACGCAATGTTGCCCTACGCATTGTTACCCTACACATTGTTATCTTACGCATTGTCGCCCTACGCATTGTTTTCCTACGCATTGTTCCTACGCATCGTTGCTCTACGCATTGTCGCCCTACGCTTTCTAGGGTGCTGTTTTCCTACAAAAACGCATTGTCTTCCTACGCATTGTTCATACGCATTGTTGCCCCTACGCATTGTCGCCCCACGCATTGATCCCCGACGCATTGTCGCCCTGCGCCTTCTCGGCGTACGCATTATTGCCCTACGCCTTGTTGCACCTTGTCGCCCTACGCATTGTTACCCCACGCATCGTCACCCTACGCATTGTTTCTCTACGCATTGTTCTTACGCATTGTCGCCCTACGCATTGTCATGCAACGTGTTGTTCCATAACGCACGGTTACCCAAAAACGCGTTGTTTTCCTACGCATTGTTCTGATGCATTGTTGGCCCTACGCATGGTCGCCCTATGCATCGTTGCCCAAATGCATCGTCGCCCTACGCCTTCTCGGCCTACGCATTGTTGCACTACGCATTGTTACGCCTTCTCGCCCTACTCATTGTTGCCCTACGCATTGTTGCCCTACGCATTGTTATCCAACATATTCTTCAATAACGCATTGCTACCCAAAAACGCATTGTTTTCCTACGCATTGTTCTTACGCATTGTTCTTACGCGTTGTTCTTACGCATTGTTCGTTCCTACGCATTGTCACCCTACGCATTGTTACACCTTCTCGTCCTACGCATTGTCGCCCTACGCATTGTCGCCCTACGCATTGTTTCCCTACGCATTATTCCTACGCATCGCTGCCCTACGCATTGTTATCCAACGTATTCTTCCCTTACGCATTGTTACCGTAGGCATTACTGCTATACGCATTGTCGCCCAACGGATTATCGCCCAACGCATTATTATTTTACACTTTGTTGCCCACCGCATTGTTACCCTACGCATTGTTATCCAACGTATTCTTCCCTTACGCATTGTTACCCTACGCATTACTGCTATACGCATTGTTGCCCAACGGATTATCGCCCAACACATTATTATTTAACACTTCGTTGCCCACCGCATTGTCACCCTACGCATTGTAGTACGCATTGTATTGCGCACCCCCCTGTGTGTCGTCCTACGTATTGTAAACACTGTTTTGCGCCCACTCTCTCTCTCCCCAGGACGGACTCGTTTGCGATGCCGTTCTCCAGCCGCTCCAGCTCAAGCCGTGCCTGGCCGGCTACGCCAAACACCAGGTACCAATACGGCACAACCACTCCGCCGCTCACACATTGCCTGCGCCTGGCCGTATACGAATTGCAACGATGCATCGTCTACGCACAATACGCAATACGTAACGACATAGCCGTGTAGCGCAGCCGACATAGCGACCAAAACGGTCCCCCCGTCATATGGCATGTGCGCATTGTCCTATGGCGTTTACGCATTGCTTCCCTACGCATTATTCCTACGCATCGCTGCCCTATGCATTGTTATCCAACGTATTCTTCCCTTACGCATTGTTACCCTACGCATTACTGCTATACGCATTGTTGCCCAACGGATTATCGCCCAACGCATTATTATTTTACACTTTGCTGCCCACCGCATTGTTCCACTACGCATTGTAGTACGCATTGTATTGCGCACCCCCCTGTGTGTCGGCCTACGTATTGTAAACACTGTTCCGCGCCCACTCTTTCTCTCTCCCCAGGACGGACTCGTTTGCGACGCCGTTTTCCAGCCGCTCCAGCTCAAGCCGTGCCTGGCCGGCTACGCCAAACACTAGGTACCAATACGGCACAACCACTCCGCCGCTCACGCATTGCCTGCGCCTGGCCGTATACGCATTGCAACGATGCATCGTCTACGCACAACACGCAATACGTAACAACATAGCCGTGTAGCGCAGCCGACATAGCGACCAAAACGGTTCCCCCGTCATATGGCATGTGCGCATTGTCCTATGGCGCTTACGCATTGTCCTATGGCGTGTACGTATTGTCCTATGGCGTTTACACACTGACGTTTACACGATGTCGTTTACACACTGTAATTTACGCATCGTGTTAGACGCATTGTCTTATGACATTTACGCATTGTCCTACGACATGTACGTATTGTACTACGACATGTACGTATTGTACTATGGCATGGACGCTCTCTTGGCGTCACACCATGCCGTACTGCACGACAAGGTGAGATGGTGAAACTGAGACACTGCCAGAGCGCCGCCAGTTGTTGTGGCGAGGGGGGAGATGGTGCCAGGAGTCACAGGCAGGGTCGGGGTGACGTATAGGCGACGAGGGGAGAAGAGGGGGAGGAGGGGGGTGGGAGGCCGTGTCAAAACACATGCCGTACAGATGCCGCTTGTACGGCATCGTAGGCAGCGTACGCTGCCGTACAGTTGTCGTACACTGTCGTACAGTTGCACACATGACATCTTGCCACACAGTACGGCACAATTGCCGTACAGTCTGCTGCCGTACAGTGTGTTGTCGTACTCGAGATCTCCCAGAACACCATCCCCACAGGCCCAGGCATCATCTCCAAGGGTGCCCAGGAAGTCGCCAAGAGGTCGCTACCCGGCTCGAACCGCAGACCTCTGGCTGGCTCAGCACAGGACTGAACGCTTAGCGCCCCAAGGACCTTGCCACCACTTTCGCGGACACACAGACAGACAGACAGACAGACAAAATTTCGACCGACTGTCCTCCAATCCTCCCCTCCACTTCGTTACGGGGGGATTTACGGTCATAGCGACATAGCGACCAAAACGGTTCCCCCGTCATATGGCATGTGCGCATTGTCCTATGGCGCTTACGCATTGTCCTATGGCGTGTACGTATTGTCCTATGGCGTTTACACACTGACGTTTACACGATGTCGTTTACACACTGTAATTTACGCATCGTGTTAGACGCATTGTCTTATGACATTTACGCATTGTCCTACGACATGTACGTATTGTACTACGACATGTACGTATTGTACTATGGCATGGACGCTCTCTTGGCGTCACACCATGCCGTACTGCACGACAAGGTGAGATGGTGAAACTGAGACACTGCCAGAGCGCCGCCAGTTGTTGTGGCGAGGGGGGAGATGGTGCCAGGAGTCACAGGCAGGGTCGGGGTGACGTATAGGCGACGAGGGGAGAAGAGGGGGAGGAGGGGGGTGGGAGGCCGTGTCAAAACACATGCCGTACAGATGCCGTACAAGCGTACGACAGCTATCGTACGCTGCCGTACAGTTGTCGTACACTGTCGTACAGTTGCCGTACATGTCGTACACCACATGACATCTTGCCACACAGTACGGCACAATTGCCGTACAGTCTGCTGCCGTACAGTGTGTTGTCGTACTCGAGATCTCCCAGAACACCATCCCCACAGGCCCAGGCATCATCTCCAAGGGTGCCCAGGAAGTCGCCAAGAGGTCGCTACCCGGCTCGAACCGCAGACCTCTGGCTGGCTCAGCACAGGACTGAACGCTTAGCGCCCCAAGGACCTTGCCACCACTTTCGCGGACACACAGACAGACAGACAGACAGACAAAATTTCGACCGACTGTCCTCCAATCCTCCCCTCCACTTCGTTACGGGGGGATTTACGGTCATACGGTCACGGACAGACAGACGAACTTTAGCGGTGATCTGTCCTCCAATCCTCCCCTCCACTTCGTTACGGGGGGATTTACGGTCACGGACGGACAGACAGATAGCGCCGCGTCGTGGTCGCCGCGGCCGGGGGTACCGTAAATCCTGATTGGTGATGAATTCGCGAACGAACAAGCTTTGCGCGCCGGCATGACTTCAGCATTGCGGACCTAACGTTGGCGCGCCGACCAGTGTTGTGAGGTTGCTCATGTTGCAGACAAGCATGGTCGGCGGACCTGATGTCAGCGTGCGGCTCATGTTCGAAAGCAATAGTCGGCATGGCGTACATGTACGGCATGGCGTCGAACTGCTTCAAATTCAAATTTTGGGGCGCCTCCGGACGTTTTCCGCTATCGGTGACCTCTTGGGGCTGCCCTACGGCATGTTGGCGTGTCCAAGGCATGAAAAGCCCTTGTTCTGTACCAACATATACAGGTAGAGCCTCGCTACCTGCGCACTACATGCACACACACACACAAAAACACATCTGCGCATGAGGGCGACGTCTCATGACCCGTGGGTCAGTGATCACCAAAAAAGCTATCATTTTCGGCGATCAGCAATCGGCGCTTTTCAGGAGATGCGCCGACTTCACGACCGTGCTTCTCGTCGAAACCAGCTTGCAAATTGCGCCGAAAGACTCTCGCCGATGCCAGGCAAATTGCGCCGAAATCTAAGAAGCTTTCACGGTGACCACCCCTGACAGCATTCGCCGATCAGTAATCGCCGATAAACCCTCGTCTTCGGCGACCAGTAATCGGCGCTTTTCATCAGACGCGCCGACTTCACGACCACGCTTCTCGCCGAAACCAGCTTACATTTTGCGCCGATTTTGTTTTGCCGAAACCATACCAGTCGCCGAAACAGTTTTACACTGATTTCGGAAAAGTAACCAAGAAACTGCGAATGGCTCATTAAATCAGATATAGCTTAGTCGATATCACAATGCAAGACATCGCAACAAGGAGACGGGCGGCACACGGTGCCCCAACCCATGCCGTACCGCTGTACGACAGGGGTGTTCAGAGAGCTAGAGCGATGAAGAGGTGGTGAGGGG